AAAAGTGAAATATAACCTTGTCCACGAAACATAATTTTTTTTACGTATGACCAACAATTTAATGGTGGAACTATTATGCAAACTGCGAAGAGTGATATACGTTTCCCCAGCCAATTTTATTTATAATAGATGAAGTTTCACGAAGAACTTTAAACTCATTTTTAATTAAATGCTAGTCGTGTAGCACGGCGGTGGGGGAGGGAAGAACTCCACTATTTAAACAAACTTCAAAACGTGTATTGCTGAAAGTGGTCGGAAAAGCCTACAGTGACAGTTTTTTGACGGTCGTACCCTTCTTAAACGAGCATGAATATCTGACGCCGTGTAACCTTTTTGATAATGCCATTGCTTATAATAACCCACAGGGGGTCTGCACCCAAAATGTACTTGTAGAGAATACAAAAAAGGTTACTTAGACTACGAGAGCACAATAAATACCGGTAAAGGGAAAGGCGGTGATTTGCAAGAAAGAAGCAGAAAACAAAGTGTGCAAAGAGGAAGAGATGACAATGGAAACAGGATATCTCTTTTCATATGTTACTTTTGTTGGTATGGCAGTTTTTATCGATTAATGTACAATTAAAAAGCAGGCCGTCTTTTTCAATTGAAATTACAACTGCTTAATTCCTCTGGTGAGCATATGGGAAAAAATTCGACCCTAGTAAAGTAGAAATCACACTTCGCCCATCATGTTGTCCGAGATAATTAGGTTGCAGTCGAAAATGGGAAAGAAGATCACATTGAAACAATTGTACCTCGATATTAAAAGAGCTTCTTTACCCTTGATTATAGGCCTTGAGCAAACTGCTGGCAATGAAGCGCAGTGTGGAGAGAGAAACTGCGCAGACTGGACTGCACCCTGAGAACGTCAACAAGAATCGATTTTCTGATTTCCCCGCAAGTGAGTGCGCAGATTGGAATTAATACTTTCGATGGGTCTCTGTAGCTTGTTAGTTTTGACGCTGTTTGCATCATATTTGTACCCTTTGGACAGTATTTTTTTCTGTAACTTTTCCATTGTACGGGCCTTCAACGTTTTGCCATCGAAACCTCTGATTATCAAAATGTTGCTATCAAGAAGAAATTTTGGTGTAATTCAAGTGCAGGGACTGAAAGAGGTCACTTCCTTTAAGAAATACTAATAATGTTTATTGATGCTTATTTGTCAATTCTCAAAATTAAATAGGGGCAACCTAAAACACTACTTTTTGTCGTCCCTACTGCGGATTCTTTATTGTAGCATAATGAATTAATGATACATTTGTCCAGTAAGTCAGATTTGCACAGCTGAATTTGAGGCGAGAAATGTAAATGAGCAATGGTTGATGTTTGTCCTGAGGTTAAATGCATTCTGTTGTGAGGGGAAAGAATCCTCTTTCGCTTAAACATAGTTTTACATACCTTGTGGTATATATGTTTAGGAAGGAGACACCGTGTTGTTTCAATAAAATACTTAATACGTGCATTTACTTCGCAAACTATGCTTCCACTTTACCATCGTATCTCATTTTAAGTCAAGAGCTATTTACGTGAGCTAGAACAAAGACAATTTTTATTATTGTTAACCATCTTGTTCGATAATTAGTTGTAAAAAAAATCTTAGACTGCTTGGGGTAACTAGTGAAACATATTCAAGAAGTACTACAACGAGGATATAATGACGACCGCTTGGGCTTGTTTCCACAGAGCAACGTTCCCGGGCAGTGTTAATGACGAGCGTGTGTGAAAATGACACCGATTACATCAACGCACATTTCCTACCGGTAAGTTAGACGATTACTTCAGCTGCAAATACATGTCAGCCAATTGTCGTCCAGAGCTCCGGGATGTTATCAGCATTTTTACCCTTTTACTGCACAAACTTCGTCATAAAGAATGAATTTGTAGGCAGTTTCGATGAGGTATTAGAGGTTTCCACAGTGTCAAAACAATCCCACTCTACAAGGCATCAGTTGTACTGTGGCTAAAACGTTAGCCCTAGAATGCTGACATCAATTAGCTCCCCAAACTTCAAATTGAAATCCGAGTTTGCATGAAAGAAGTGATAGGACAAAGGATCTACCATTAACCTTGCCATAATTGAAGCCGGGCTA